TTGAAATTAAAATAATTAGATTACAATGGTTGGTGATTTAAAACATGGTAGAACAGTTCATTCACTTGCAAGATTATTAACTATATACAGTGATAGTATGTGACATCTAATTTTTTTTTTGTCACTTTCGTTTATAATAATAATTAAACAATTGATTGTTTTTAGAATCAATTTCACTTCATTATGTTTCTCCATCTTCATTAGCTATGCCTCAAGATGTAATGGATTGTGTTGCAGCAGCAGGCATCCCTCAAGTATGTATATTATTCATAGAAGAAAAAAATGGCAAGAATTTCGGCCCAAGGAGTTTTTAATCCGCGCTCGAAGTTTATCTCATTAAACCTTATAAAAAGCTTTATTTTTATGAATAGTTAGTAAACTTCGTATTGCTCAATAGGATTTATTTTCATTACAGAAAAAAAAGTAGCTCTCAACAATACTCATTGAGATCAAACCATAGTTCTACGGTTCTTGTCAGCACTATGGCATCTTGTGCTGAGCGCTGGATTTTAATAAAAATGCATAGTATTAAGCACTACAGAGTATACTAACTATTCATAGAAATGAGATTGAATGAAGTAAACTTGAGTCCAATTAAAAATTTATGTAACTTAAAATTGTTTTGTTTAGAAATCATATACAAATCTTGAAGATATATTACCAGATACTGATGTTCTTTATATGACTCGAATACAAAAAGAACGATTTACGTCTGAAGAAGAATATAAAAAGGTTTTTATTTTTCTTTAATTCAAATATTTTGAAGATTAATTAATGAGCTGTTTGTTTCGTTGTTCATAGGTTTGTGATCATTATAAAATAACACCAAATTTTATGTGTAAAGCTAAAAAACATGGCAAAATGATTGTTATGCATCCATTACCTCGTCTTGATGAAATAAGTACTACATTTGATAGTGATCCTCGAGCTGCATATTTTCGTCAAGCTGAAAATGGTCTTTACATTCGAATGGCACTACTTGCAATCATACTTTCGAAATGATGTTTGATGCAATCAAAGAGAATGTTTGTTTCTTGTTTTCGTTGGTTTTTTTATTATGTTTTTTTTTTCTAATGTTATGTTATTCGAGCATTGAAACAAAGCATATATTAAAGGTATTCGTTATCGTTTTCAGATAATGTCTAAAGCACTTCGATTTGCACCAGCTGTAAAAGAATTACGTTTACATTTATGTCAAAAATCACCAACAAGTGAAGGTACACGTCAATTTATTGAAAAATTTTATGTTAATTTAAAACAACAAAATCCATCAACACCAATACTTATTCGTGAATGTTCAAATATAAATCCAACATTATGGACACGATATGAATATGGAATTGAAAAACAAATTCCATTAACTGGTATGAGTGCTGAACAAGTATTTAGTGCTATTGAAAATTTAACAACTAAAACGATTCCAGCCAGTTTACATCGGTTGTCGAAATAAACTTTTGTACTTTTAGTTTTCTCTCTTTTTCTTTTTTTTTTTTTGTCATTTCGACTAACCATTTACGTAGCTTTATTACTTTCTATTTTGTCCTTACAAAAAAAGAAATAAATAGAAACTCGAAACCTAATTGATGTCTATTTAACCTATTCATATTTGTAGATCGTTTATTATTTAGAATAAAATCATGGATGAAATTAAAAAAGATACTCGTTTTGCTCATATTACGAAAGATCCACGTTTTCGACCAGTATCAAAAAATGAAAGAAAATTAAAAATTGATCGACGTTTTGCATCTATGTTTAATGATCCAAAATTTAAATTAAAATATACAGTTGATAAACGTGGAAGACCATTAGTTAAAGAACATACAACACGTGATGATATGAATAAATTTTATCATCTTGAACAAGATGATGATGATGATGATGATAGTAGTTCAATATCATCTGAAGAAGAAATAAAAAAGAAAACGAAAAAAAATAAAAAATCTGTTAATGATGAAGAACTTGATGAATTACTTCAAAGTGATGAGAGTGATAGCGAAGAAAAAGAAGATAATGATAATGAAGAAGAAGAAGAAGAAGAAGAAGAAAGAAAATCAAGTTCATCGGAAGAAGATGAAGAAATACCTGAAATTGATGATGGAATCGAATGGAATGAATTTGATGATAAATGTGCTCGGTAAATATTTTTTCAAAATCGGTAGCAATAGAATATTTTTATTAATGTATCGAGAATTCGAAATTTGAGTCATTATATTGTCATAGTTGAATAGATCTCGTCGAGTTGCCGCCTATAAAATTGTTGTTTTGAGAATATTTAAACGATGTTTTTGTAGTGAAAATTAGATTTAAAAAGGAATCAGAAAGGTCTTTAAAAGTTGAAATACATCAGAAGCATGAAGTCTCAGTAGCTTCAATGTTTATTCGAATTTTTTTTTTTTTTTAATTTTATTTAACATTTAGTTACGGGAAAAGATTCTACATGCTTTTTGAAAAAATCGATTTTTTCGATATGATAGGAAAACACAATAAATTTGCGGTTGTATTGTAAGATTTTGATACTGAAAACTTCAATTCCAAAAAAAAACGAATATCATATTCAGTATATGGATGCAACAGTGATGATAATCACTAGTACCGACGTAGACCAATGCAAAGCTAGACGTAAGATCGGTGCATCACCATCACCGTTGTATTCCTAATTCAGAGTTATCACAAAAAGCTGCATTGAATAGTTTACTTGAATACTCAAAAAATAATTTTCATCAAATATCGATCTTAGCGGAAACACAAGTTGGAATATTCGAAAATAAGACTGAAGAAGCGTAAGGACCATCATTAGTTTTGAGTATTGCGTATACTATTTGATGAAGATTTTTGTGCTGATTCTGAATATGATATTCTTTTCTTTTAGAACTAAAATTCTAAGCATCAAAATCTTAGAATACAAATGCCAAAAAATTTTCGCTTAAATTTTGCATTTCCTGCATCTTAAATAAAAACAATAAAAAAATGTATAATTGAATATCTTCTTTTTTTAGTTCTGATGAAGTCAGTCATCGATTAGCAGTATGTAATATGGATTGGGATCGTGTACGTGCTGTTGATATTTTTCTGTTATTAAACTCATGGAAACCAGCAGATGGTGTCATTAAATCAGTTACTATTTATCCATCCGAATATGGATTACAACAAATAGAAGCAGAAAAAAAATTTGGTCCATTACCTGGAACTACAAAACCTGTTATTACAACAGACCAGTAAGACTTTATTTTTTACTCATTTTATCTTATTGGTTTTGTTTTTGTATTCTAGGAATGGTACTGATAGTGGTCATCAAAGCGAAGCTGAAGAAGAACCCGAAGAACCAGAAATAAAATCTGATGACGATGATGATGAACCAAATTTTAATCAAGATGATGATCCAGATACAACTGATCCAATAATGCGTGAACGTTTACGAAAATATCAATTAAATCGTTTAAAATATTATTATGCTGTTGTTGAATGTGATAGTATAGCAACAGCTGTTCGTATTTATGAAGAATGTGATGGACTTGAATATGAAACAAGTGCTGTTCGTCTTGATTTACGTTTTATACCTGATTCAGTTACATTTGATTCTTCTATTTTACCACGTGATCAATGTACAAAATTACCTGATAAAACATTATATAAACCAATACTTTTTCGTAATACAGCATTAACACAAACAAAAGTACGTTGTACATGGGATGAAACACCTATTGAACGACGTCAATTAACAAAGAAAAAATATACACTTGAAGAATTAGATCAAGTTAATTTAGATGCTTATTTAGCATCAGAATCTGATGAAGAATTACAAGATGATGATAATATTAATGATGAAAGTGATGATGAAAATAATAAAGAATTAGATAATGAAAAGAAAAATGATAATAATATTTTTAAAGTACCAACTACAATTCCAGAAAATTCAAATAAAAAAAAACAAAATCAACCTATTATTCGTGCACCTAGTATACTTAGTAGTCAAGATGATATCGATCGTTATAGGTAAATTTTCAAATATTTGTTTTTGTTTTTGTTTTAATAATAAAATTTTTTTTTAGATCTTTACTTTTAGATTTTAATGATAATCCTAAAATGGATAAAAAATCCAAAAAGAAATTAACAAATTTTTTTGATGAACAAAATAGTGATAACGAAGAATCGAATCAACATACTGATAATGATGATGATGCTAGTGATATTGATATGGAAATAACATGGCAACCAGGTTTAAAAAGTAAAGCTGAAGAAAAATTTAAAAATTCTAATAATCAAAAAGAAAAAAATAAAAATAAAAAACATGATAAATCAAATCTTGTTAAAGATCAAATAGAACAAGAGCAAAAGGATTCAATTGAAAATGATCGTGAAACACTTGAATTACTTACTGTTGATGATGATATTGATACTAAACGTGATTATAATCTTCGTGATATGATCAAATCACATAAACAAGCAACTAAAGCTGCAACTAAAAATGCTAAGAAATTAAAAAAATTACAACAAAATTCATCCAATTTAGTTGAAACAAAAACAAATCATGGTGATGATTTTCAATTAAATCTTAATGATAAACGTTTTCAAGCTGTTTATATACAACCAGCATTTAATATTGATCAATCTGATCCACATTTTAAATCAACAGCTGGTACACAACAACTTATTGATGAAAAATTAAAAAAACGAAAATTTGATAATTTAACTTCATCATCCAGGACTGAACCTGATGAAGATGATATTGTTGTTAAATTAAAACGAAAATCAGCAAAAAAAGATTAATAATAAAAAAGAATAATCTTCTGTGTGCTGATAGAAAATTTGTTTTATTGTTAATTAATTAAAAAGAAAAAAAAATACACAAAGAAGTGTACCGGCGTAACATAAAACGCCATGGAATTTCAATTTTTTTTATTATAATATCTATATCTTCACTATGATAAAAGCGAACATTCTGAAATTTTAATCATAGATAGAGACTATTTAGATCTATATACTACTGTAATCCTTTTCGTTTAAAATTTAGCTTGAGGAATGGTTTGTTTAATTACTTCTTTTGAAACGAATTTTTAATATTTGACCATCATACTTAAATGTTTGCTAGATGACACTATCGACTATACAATGATATAATATAACTAACAAATCATGGAACTGAACTTATGAGAAGGTTGAAAGAAAATATCGTGTCTATCAAGTACTCTAATCAACAATTCTAGAAGTGCTATTCTCAATATTTTGTGTTTAATGAAAGTTATACAATGTTATTATCTTCTGCCATATTGATATCAAGATGTTCATCTTTATTTGCCTTTTTTTTCGATTGAATTCTTCGTAATTCTTTGCATTCACCATCTCTCATAAACATTCAGTTTATAAATCAATCTCCATTTCTTTTATAACTACACGAATAAGAACAATTAATTAAATCATTATTGGCTAACAATGACTTCTATGTATAAGTAAATATTTAAGCAAGAAAAATATAAGAAATACCCCATGGTGGTATAAAAACATCAAGATAAGACAAATGCCACGAAAACATAAAATGAGCCATCATTTCTGTTTGTTAACAGCTGTCGTTGTTTAAAATAGAGTTAACTATAGTGGATCTTAGACTCTATATGATTATACCCATGATGCATATTAATATCTTTTATCGCATACAAAAAATACAAAAGAGCAAAGAACATCAAAATTTGAACCTGAATTTAAGACCAAACCGTTATAGAATACTGAGTGTTGTAGAATAGGTATCTAGATCTTTAAATTGTTGTTTTGATGAAGTTCATTTTTCTGCATATCCCTGAGGAGGATCAGTGGCTACGATTTGACTGAAAGAAAAAGTCCCAAAAACAATTTGAAACTCATATACGTGTCAACTCAGCTTTTTGTGTTCATTTCAAATATAATATTTATTTGAAGCCAAATAAGGTTTATTTCTGCTCGAGAACCATCGAATATTAGTCAAAAAAAAGTAAATTGGCTCTCAAGTATAGTGATTAGAGCAAAAGTGCTATAACTTCATAAGACTGGAAAAATCATTATTTGTAACAATAGAATCCAATTGGGGAGATATTTGGCATTTATCGATAGGAAAACATTTGAATATTTTAGTTCTGATAGAGAAAGAAATTCTGCATCAGATGAATCTATTTTCGACGAATCTAAATTGGAATTTAATGGTCTTTCAGGCGAAAATCTGATTTTTCAAGCTTTCAAAGTTTCCTTGAGATCTTACTTATTATCTAAGTACTTTTGAAAAAAAATGTGATATTTGTAATCAGCACACTTAGCACTATTGGACCAGAAAGACTTGTAATAGAACAGCGAGAGAAAAATTTTTTGGATACCTGAGGAGGACTCGAGGTATTAAAAATTGGGTTGTGATAAAATAAAAATTTGTGAAAAATTATCAGGATTCAATGGTGATTCTCAAGCTAATATAATTATGCTTGGATTGTTTAGTCCATAATCTGATACACCTCCTTTTCCCAGTAGAACTATAGTTAACAGCGAATTTTTAGTTCCACTACAATTTAGTCTTAGTGGTGCGGATGTGAATGCCACTTTGGAGAAGATCCACACTCTCGCCAATCTAAATTTTACAACTTCTTTAGATTTGATTTTTTGAATTGCAGATGCTGTTATTTTGATCCAGAACAAAATCGTTCAGGTTGAAAACTTTTATTTAAAAAAAAAACTGTTTTTTATTTTATCATCAGTAGCTGTTCTCGTTCTGTTGAGAGTCCAACACCCATCGAAAATGATATGTGCAAGAACATTATCGATTTGAATAAAATGATGAATACAGTTAATATCACGAGTAATAATATGATGTTGTCGAATTTTTTTATAAGTTTTGTAGCTTCATCTGAAATAATAATAAAAAAAATAGAAAACATATATTGTTAAGAACGATCGAGATGGAAAAAGTTAACTTACAACAATCACTATAGGCATGGAAACTTTTAGTACATTGAATAATTTCGAAAGTAGGTCGTTGAATGAAATTACAAGCTCTTGCTAATTTTTCAAGACCATATAAAACAGATTCAATAGTTACTACTTGATGTAATTCACCAGTCATCCAAGAAGAATCAAACTTATAACCGTATTTAATTAATTCAGATGTTAGAAGATCAGCTTCAATATAGATTTCTGATGGTAAAGGATAACAACGATCATGAACTTTGAACTGCTAGAAAATCAACAAGTTTTCTTTATATTTTAATATTTAATAGAAATATTTTACCATTGCTTCACCATTTACATCAGTCCATGACAGTTCTACGTTGACTTTCGTTGGTAATTCTTTTATTTGATTAGATCGTGAGTTTTTTGCTAGCTGATGTTCACCAACAGGAGAATATATGTTCGCAAGAAGAATTGTATCTGATAGAAGATCTTGTTTTTTGTAATGAAACAAAGATTTCATTCGATTATATATCTTCTCAGACAAATTCCTATTACGATTATTACATGTACCAGATAATAAACATACTAAAATAAAAATAAATAAATAAATAAACAATACATCAATATAATATTATGAGAAACACTTACTATACATGACAAAATTTGGTAAGTTTATCGTTTCATATTCATCTATCAACTGTAGTGCTTCATCAAATAATAACAAACGACTTAAACAATCAATCTTAAATATAACATACAAAAAAAATTATAGCTAACATAATAAATAAAATAGAAGAACAAACCATAATAGTAACGATTTTTTCTGTTTTGACAGGAATTTCATTGAAGATATTCCGAAGTTCATGAAGAAGATCCGAATGTGAACATGTATTTAAAATATAAACAGATGAAACTTCATCACATTGATTGTTCGGCATTTGTCTATATAATTCAATAGCTTCAGAATTCATTTCATTAAATCCAAATCCATTTACTTCAAAAACAAAACAATCAATATTTAAAATAATAGTAAAATGAAAGTAAATAAAGTTACTCATTGCATTGTATGACATTATACCACGATCATAAACTGATTTATATACATTTTGTACGTTTTTAACAGAACTACATCTTCTCTATATGAGGAAAAAAGACAAATGATAAATAAAAATGAAGCAGTCGATGAAAATCAACAATCAATACTTACCCACATATCAATTAATAAGATTTGTATTTGATTTTGAATATGTAAAGGAATTTGATCAATAATATACTGACTTCGCCGAATCATACCGATTTGTAAACATGCATCAATAAATACATTCCCTATGATCTCATCCAGAACAATATCTTGTTGTTTCATTCCTTCAAAAATCTTCAAACATTTCCATGGTTCATCATTCACATTGTAGTCATTCATTAGAGCAGTATAAGTAATTATATCTTTGTTTCTTATTAATTTAACAACACATTCAGCACTTTGAATATCATCAAATTTAATTAACATATGTGTTGTCGAGGTTAATAGAATATTGTCATTTTGATAATTATCAGGCATTTCATCAAGAAGTTTTTTTCCAATCTTCATTGCTTGGTCAGGGGTAAGTTGAGTACATGTATTAGAAACAATAGTATAAGTTATATTTTCTAAGTTTAAATTGATCTGTTCAAATAAATCCAATGCTTTTTCAGACATTTCATTTTCGATGTATCCTAAGTTAAATCTAACAATGTTTCGAAAAAAAACATCTAATATATATGTTACCTTTCATCATAGCATTACTAGGGATAATATCTTTCTTCCTGATAAATCTAAAAACACGTTCAGAACATTGATTCTGACCAAATTTCATTAACATATGTATTGCTGAAGTTAATATTATACTAGTGCTTCGATAGTTATTAGGTATTTCACCAAGAAGTTTTCTTCCTATCTTCATCGATCGATCAGCGGTAAGTTGAGTACATACATTAAAAACAATAGTATAAGTTATATTATCTAAGTTTAAATTGATCTGTTCAAATAAATCCAATGCTTTTTCAGACATTTCATTTTCAATATATCCTAAGTAAAATCTAACAATGTTTCGAAAAAAACATCTAATATATATGTTACCTTTCATCATAGCATTACTAGGGATAATATCTTTCTTCCTGATAAATCTAAAAACACGTTCAGCACATTGATCATGACCAAATTTCATTAACATATGTATTGCTGAATTTAATATGATACTAGTGCTTCGATAATTATTAGGTGTTTCATCAAGAAGTTTTCTTCTAATCTTCATTGCTCTATCAGCGTTAAGTTGAACATATGTATTATATAAAATGGTGAGAGTAAAATTGTTAGGTTCAATTGTCGTGTGATCTAAGAAATCAGACACTTTCTCCAGCATGTTATTAGAGATTAGACCTATTTATAAAAAATATTTAATAAGAAAAAAAAACCCATAAAGAATATTAGTATTTTAACATACGTGTATAGATATAATTAGATTTGTTTGTAGTTGTAGAGAATAGACGAGTTACATTATCAATAACATGACATTGTACTAAGAATAAAAACAAATATGATCGGTTGAATGTATATACTGAGTATTATTGAACGTTTAATATATGATTTTTTTGTTGAATGTTTAACATAAATAATTAGACGTTGTTTTATTTACTCATTGCTGCAGTGATTTTTTTTTGTGTCTGTCTCATGAATCAAAACTAGTTTGAAAAATTTAGTTCAAGATCTCTAATAACCGTTGACAGATTATTAGTAACTCAATCTGAATATTTTCATAAAAGTATATTATTTTTGTATAGGAGAAAACATAGTGAATTTATTGGATTGATTTAAGATCTTTTATAGAAATCTTATTGTACGCAGAAAAGGTAAAAAAATGAAAAAGGACTTTTTGTTACTGAAAATAAACATGTTCATTTATCAGAATATTCATACATTTTTATTATTATAATACAATCATATTCTGATTGATAAAATAAAGGACTCACTATGCAAGTGAATTAATGATGTTTGAATATAAGAATTATTAAATGAATTTGATGACAGCTTTTGTTGAATATTTATACCACGCTTGTAATCATTTAATATAGTACATGCTTTTATTGCCAAAGCAATAGTAAAATCTGTACATATTTCAAATTTTTGATCGAAAAGATCTAGAGCTTCTTTATATTGTTTAGAATAAATAAGTTTCTTCATTGTTGAGTTTAATTTTATAAATGAAGAAATCGAAAAGTTTTCATTGTTTTTCTGGTATGATGATAGTAAACGTTGCAATCGATATATCCAATAAGTATTGTTTTCAATCAGTAACATGTTTTAGTCTAGAATAGAAAAAATAATATGCAAATATGCCTATCTTTAAAGAGTATTTAAAAAAGTAATCGTAAAAAATTATTCTTATGAAGTTGATGATTGAAAATCTTTGCATACATAGGGTTGGATCATACCCTTATACTAATTGGTGCTTCTAATATAACTCTCAGTGTGATGGTGAGGGCAAGGACAAAAATATGATTAAATTATAGTAATTCCTATTTTCAATATTATTCTTCTCAAAATAGCAACATAGTATTGACTAATTAATTTTTTTTTTGGTGACTCGATAGATGTAGACACATTCGATATATGCGCTAGCGTCGAAGCTGAGCTTACATTCAATCAACGGTATGCTTGAGCGAATCTCGGATCGAAGATTGGAAGCATTGGATTTCGGATTGAAGGAGAAATTTATCTTAAAACTCGAATTCGTGTGTAACCCGATGTTGAATTCAGATTCTTTTTAGTGGGCTGTGAGGAATAAATGACTTTTCAATTAGTACAATTATCAGTTGATCAATTGAATTTGAATTCACGAATTTATAAACAGTGTTTCATTATAGCAATTTTTGTGTATAAAATCGTTCAAAACTTCCCTAATTCAAATTTACTTCATGAACTGACGATTTTGTTAGTTAAAATGTCGCTGTTGCTTCTCAGTTCCATATAAGAATTCGAATCCAACATTGATCTATAGATTAAGTCAAGTTGAGTGCGAGTGTTTCTTGCACTCGTCATACACCGATATCCGCATCTACACCACACTCTAATTGAACAACTGAAACTAGAATGATACATCAATGCTGAGTAATACAATTAAATGTATTCAAAAAATTAGGAACATCAATCAACCTGTCTTAACCTGGAGGCAGGTCTTGTATCAAATATTCAAGGCTCCTCAGAATAGAAATACGTCCATTTCACACACTATCGATAGTGCTCATTTGATTGGTAGGTCCAGCTTTCTTTACTTTTGAGTTCGAACCTTCGCCATATGTGGGTGTTCGATGGCAATAAATAAAGCAATCCGTTATAGAGTTGACAAGATAAATAATTTTAAAATTTTCTTAATCTCATTAAGACTCGTTTAAATTCAACAAGATATAATTAAAAGCTCAGAATCACTTGACATGTTTTCCTTGTGAATACAAACAGATACAGACAATAGTTATTAAAAACTTTCAATTATCTGAATCGTGATTTCTGCCGAAGTTTTAAACAGCAAAAAAAAAAATGATGGCTCATCTTATTAGTCATACATATATTTGTTTTTTCATGTTTTGATGTTTTAATAACAAGTTAAAAAAATAACAATGAATTTATCCATCTAATTTTTCTCAATTCTTGTTATATATATTTTCATAGGTATCATTCTGTTGTTGTTAGTTCTGTTCTTCGGAAAACAAGAAGAGAGATAAAAATTTAATGGAAGAAAAAAAAAAAAAGAAAACGTCAGTTCATGATTGAATAATAACGGATATTATGAGAATAGAGAAAACAAACATTTGAACATAAAAGAATGAAAAAGATAAGATCTAAGAAAGTTTTTTCGTTTTACTAAAAAGAGTATCAACCACTTTGGACATATTTTGAATGATTACTAAAGCATCTTGATATTGTGTATCCGATGGTGTCTCATCAAAAATAACTATATTCGATGAACCTTGATCAAGAATACCAATAAATTTCTTATCTAAAATCATTTGAGAGAGTTTTTTCTCGACAACATCCTTTAAAAAAACCAGAAATAAATATTATTTATTTTTTTTTAGCAATTAAATAAATATACTTGAGGTAAATTAATCAAATGTGCAATATGTTCTATTTGAACATTAGAAAATGGTTCAAGAAGACGACAAAGATTTTGTTCAAGTAAATTATCATATAATGTACCTAAATGTGAATGAACCATTGGATCATCAGATAATTCAGTTTTATAATCTTTTAATGCCTAGAAAAATAATCACAGATTTCAATAATTTGTTTTTTTTTTATCACTAACTAAATCAAACCTGTTGAAAATCAGCTAATGATCTTTTTTTACTTGCTTGTGCAACCGCTTTCATTGCTTCAACATCGCGACCACTATATTTAAGTGCTAATTTAACTGACATAAGTGCATTAACATCATCCGGTCTAAAATCATTAGAAAAAAAATAATAAATATTAAATTAAATATTTGAATTAATAAACATACGTATTCATCATAACTTTTGATAATAACATATATTTAAGTGCAACAATACCCTTATTACTATTGATTTGATCATAACCTTCAAATGCTTCATAAAAATATGAAAATGCTGTTTTAAAATCTTTATCTTCAGCAGCATGAAGAATTCCTTTTATTACACAACAAAAATAAAACATTGTTTTTTTCTTATTCAAAAATTCAAAATTATATAAGAAAATCTTTACCTGATTGTAAATCAAGACTTGCTTGAAGTTTTGGTGGTGTATAAATTCCATTAGCTGTTGTTCTTGCTGATGTTAATGCAGCTCTATGAAATAAAAACAAAATTAATTAAATTCTATTGGCATTTATAATTAACTAACCTTGCTTTTTGTAAATTACTTAAAGCAAAATATGTTTTACTTTCAAATAATTGAACTTCAACAAGTAATTGTTTATCATCAAGTTTTTTTAATTCTTTAAGTAATTGTGAACCAAGTGTAAGTGCTTCATTATATCGATGTGTGTCATAATATAAAGCAACAAGACGTGCCTAAAAAAACAGAAGAATTTTTTTTGAATTAATACTGAATATCATAGAATTTTTTTTTGATTTTTACTTCAAGATCTTGTCGAAGAAATGTTCGATTTTCACTTTTAGCCCATTCAATATTTTCTTGGCACAATGAAACCTATATAAATCATATATATATATAAGTATCCGTCATTAGAGTCTGTCGGATTCATGTTCAAAAATTTTGGACACGATAGGCTCTAGTCGTCGAAGAAATGCATAGGAAGCACTAGTCACCGCATACAGAAAACTGGAAAAAAAGTATCTTGTATGTTCGGACGAATAGAATGTTTTCATTTTAAAGATAAAACTGTAGAAACATTATGATACAATTCACTTATACAAAAGTGCTCGAAATAATGCTACAGTAAATCATAATCTATGTGATTCGAAACGAATAAAAATCGCTAGTAAAATGTGTACTATACCAACAGTAGTTTGATACTTTAACGATTGATTATCCTCTGATCGCCACTCTATTGCAATATACCGATCAACCTACTGCTAGTTCTTATGAATACCACGATAGTACGAACAAACATACGACATGGAAAATAGGAAAACAATATAAAGAATAAATGTTCTATTATATTTTCTAATTAGCTGATTTATAATAAGATATGGTATTATTTTGTAATTATTTGTATAGTTCAGTTTTACATTTATGCATTTGAATAACATTTATTAAAAGAGAGATTTCTACGTAATTCGTTTATTGATTTGAATCTTATTTATTAATGATCCTTGCAATGAAACATACAAGGATTAAACAAACACTATGGCTGATGTTCTTAAATGCATACGTTGAGATGCCATAGTTTGGTCGAGTATGAAAATATCGAAGAGAGAAAATGTGGAAAGTATATATCAAAAAAAAAAAGTAATATCTCTAGTTTATTGTTGTTCTTCTCACTATTTTTATTGATCTGCATCTATACTTAGTAGTAAAGGAAGATGAGTAATACCTTATAACAATGAACAATAATGGTAGAAGAGTGTGAATGAATAGGAAACTCATGCCCTCATCTATCGATAAAATGGAATACCTAGATGGTTTGTCCTTGCTGATTGCGAAATGCAATAAAATTCTATTTTTATAAATCATTTCTTTATGTATTTATTGACCTGTATGTGATTGCTGTTAAGGTATTAGTGTCACATCACAAACAAAAAGTATATTTTGCTAATCAACATTTTCTAAAGAGTTTTTTGACCTGTTTTTCCATTTGCATATCTTTGCATTTCGGTATTTGTCCATTTCAATATTTTCGACCAAAGCACTGTCAACCTATACATTTATTTATTTTTTCGTGTCATATCTTTGTGACGAAATAGTTTCTTTTTTTTCTGATAGTAAGATGTAATCTTATTTTGATGAGCTTGTTGTAAAACACTTAACAAATAGAACATTATTCAATAAATGGCTTTTTTTAAAAATATTTCTCGATGTATATTATAAATAGTTATTTTACTACAGCACTAAAATCAATTGTCATTAATAATAGCTAAAATAAATATTTTTTTCAAACTCTCTCCTCATATCTATAGAACAAAAAATAAACTATTTACTAATCATATAACTATCTTTTCCTATCCTCATCATTGACATATATACTAAACAAAAATAAATCAAATTATCGATCAACAAGTTTTCTTATTTATATATTGATGATATTTTGAAAGGTTATTTACTCAACAAATATATGACTAGTGCATTCTTTTTTTTTGTAACATTATAAAATATTATTTCAATCTCAAATAGATTCTAAAACATAAAAACAAAATATTTGACTTACTTCTTCACCAGTACCAGCTTCCATATCAAGAAATAGATCAACAAGAGTTCGTACAAGTTTAGCTGCTTTAGCTTTGCTTACAAGACCAAGAAATGGACGTGTTGTTTTAATTAGAGATGCTAATGCTGAAGAAATAAAATTAATTTGTTTTTTTATTTTAATAGAAAAAAAAAATCTATTTTTATACCTTTTGCATCTTTTGTTTCTTTATAAAGTCTTCCAAGAGTAAGTACAGCTGTTTCTTTAATTCGTACTGAATCTTCATTATCAACAATAACTTCAAGTTTAACTATTAAAATAAAACATCCTTGTTTTTTGTTTTAATTATTCAATATAACATTTTTACCTAATTTTTCAAGTAATTCTCGAGCCAATTTGTAATCTTTTCCAGCTAATGCTGTTTCAGCTTCTTCTAAATCAATTTGTTCAGGTAATTTCGGTTTTTCATCTACCATTTGTTGTATACTATCATTTGTTATTATTCCCGGCATTGAAATTTCTTTAAAAATCTACAATTCTAAATATATATATATATATTTCTTTTTCTTCATCTACTAATAAATTTATTAATTTTATTTCTCTTTAAATTGTATCAATCAACTATGAAAACAAAAATACATGTCTAGATAAAAAGTAGAAATGACAAAACAAAAAATATTTTAAAGATAAAATGGCATGTCATTTGTTGATAACCAACAATGTTGTCGAAGAATTTCATTTATAATAAAACGATTTTGTTTTAAACAATTTTCAGCATATAAATGTGCTCGAAAACTTGTTTGAAGTTCATCAATACGCGTGCATGTTTCAGAAGTTATTGATTGACTACGAAGAATTAATTCTAATAAGGATAAATAAGTTGTTGTTGCCTAAAATATAAAATTCAATTAGCGAAAAAAAAAATCATTTCCGAAAAATTTTTTACTTCATCAGTTATTGAACGATCTGATAATTCTCTACTTATAATTTCAACAATTAAACTTCGATCTGAATTATATAAAAGTGCATCACTTGTTGTTGCTTGATCACCAAATAAATCAGAAAAAAATTTTATTATTGAATTTGTTGTTTTACATTCAATTGGATCAACTTTGTTTAAAAAAAAAAAAACAATCAAATAAATTAAAGTTTCTATTTTTGTTTTTTATTCTCTTACCACTTCGATTAAATAATAAAATTAATCGTTCAATTAATTCTCTACATGATATTTGTTCATTAACAGCTAATAATGTAAGCATTATAGGATTTTCATGAGGATAATCAAAACGTAAATTAAATGATAAAATAAATTTAACTGCTGTTAATATTAATTCATTATCTTCACCACTATTTTCAATTAAATCAAATATACTTTTTAAAAAAACACAATTTGATAATTGACCTAAATATAATCATATAAATATTCAAAGAAAAATATATTATATTTACCATAAACATGCACCGGAAATGATTCATTTGTTAATAATAAATCTGTTAGAAGACGAAGTGCAAAAATCACCGTTGGTTTAGCATTGTCACCTGAAAATATTTCTAAAATATATTTTATTAATTCAATTTGTTTATTGTATAAGCACAGCATACTCAAAACTACTGTTCAAACTTAAATTTAAAATTACATACGAAATACTATTTAGTTTGAACGGTAATATAAATATGAACAAACAAGCAACTACATACACATGCTTTATATTTAAACACCTGTTGAACAAATACTATTAATACTTGTTTGAATAATTCGAATACAATTTGATACTATTGGATGATCGATTACATTTGTTACAGAAAATGTTCTATTTATTTGACATAAAAGATGCACTATGTCACAGAGAATACCATGAATTTGATTACCAACATTCTAAAAAATAAGAAATATTTTCTTGAAATAAATAAAATAGAATAACGAACCATTCCAGTTAAATTCATTACATCAATTAAACGTAATTGTATATCTTGTTGTTCAATTAATTTAGAAAGTAAAGTACAATGAAGATTAACATGAGATTGCTAGAATATAAAAATCAATAAGTTTTTTTGTTTTCGTTTTAATTAAGAGTTCAAAATTAACATGATATAACAATGGAATTTTTATAGTCTGTGATGATTATTTTTTTTCCTATTCCTCTGTGATGGACTTATTTGCCTCAAGCTATTCTTCTCGTTCTGCAATAGAACAAACTAAGAACACTCTCGAACATATTCTTTTGAATATTCGTAAGAAATTGATTATAATTTGTTATGACATGTAGAAAGACTACAACTCTATTTATGACCTTCATCCATCAAAAATAACTCTGCATCTATGAGGCCGGAAATTCTGTGTTCATTGATTTTCCGGAAATAGATATTATAAAAGCCATAGAACACATATCAGACATCTACTATGAAAACAAAAATTTTTTGTTTCCGTAAGAAATTTTTTATTAATGAATGATCATGTTTTTCCTTACTAATAATTCTTGTAATTGACAAATGCTTTCAAACAGTGTGTTAGCATCACGTCCTAATGTATAATTTCGTTCTTCACAATCATTTGAACATATACTTATTGTTTCAATTAATTGTCGAAAACGACGAAGATCTGGATGATCAATACTTTGATCAAAACGCTGAAAAAAAAATCCATAAAGATAAATTCTATTTTTACAAGTTTCTCATTTTGTAAAATTACTTCAACAGCTTTTTCTAAATCATGCCATTGATTATCATTCATATGTATTTGAGATAAATATGAAATAAGTTTAGAAGATAATTGTGAACATATAACATAACTTGAATGTGTTGTTGAATGTATTAATGAAATAATATCACTAACTATTTCATCAGAATGTTCAATTGTATTATTATCATCATCATCATCATTATTATTATTCATAATTATTGAATCGTCCATAATTAAAATTTTAATAGATTAAACGATGGAAAAAAAAAAGAAGAATAAATTATTTCGATAAAGTATTTATCAAGTTGTCGCCAAGAATGTTATTTTTTTTTTGTGTATGTCAGATAACAATTGTAGCGTCATAAAAAGAAAAAAAATGGTGTTTTATATAACATAGAAGATGATTGGCTTAAAAATTCGATCAATGATTATTTTTGTCTTTCTATTTGCTTGCAGTTGCTCGCTTATGTGATCGCTTGTTTACTCAGTCTGTCTGTCTGTCAACATTCGTTCGTTCGATTAATCGGTGATACAATAAAACCTTTGTACCTCTTACTCAATTCGTACTATTATTTTCATTATAACACTATGGTAGTTCATGATCGTATGTATTTCATTGTAAAATACATTATCTATAATTATTTATTTTTCAATAGATGATGTTAGTCGTTTTGCTGATCGAAGTCGAGAACTTTGGTCCGAACGAACAATGTCTGAAGTACAGTATGCACAGAATAGTTAGTTGATTGAATTTCAATATGTTTTAATTTTTTCTTGGAAACTTGTTTTTTTTTTGTATAGATTCTTTTCGTTGTTGTGGAAGCTGTCCATTAGCATCATTAGTTGCATTTCTTTTAACATTAATTGGTACAGGTGTTTGTTGTGGTTGTCTTTATTATCCGATTCAAGCAACAATTGAACGAGTTAATAATGTATTTGAAACTGAATATATTGATTATGATTGGTAGAATATACAAAATAATTGAAATATTCAATATATTTTTTCTGTTTTAAAGGATTCGAATTTTACGTTTAGCTATTATTTTTGTTTTGGCTATAATGGGAAGTTTTTCATTGATTTTATTTATTGTTGGATCATTAGCTACAGGTGCTACACGCCATCAAATTTATACAGGATTTCGTTCTCGTCTTGGAGGTCGTATTGCAACTGGTTTTGTAAGTTTTTATTAAAACAGAAGAACTTACGCAACAGAAAGAAATATGATTTGAATTTATTTTAGTTTTCTGTTGTTGTTTATGTTTTGTTACTTATTTGGTTATTTACTATGTTAACATTAGTTGTACCATGTATTGGTTTCTATATTCTTAAATATCGTTGTGATGAAGCATTTGCAACACCGACAACATCTGGTGTAACAAATACTGCTCCACCGGTATTATGTCTTACACCAGGAACTTATGGAATTCCTGTACCAAAACAAAAACCTGATGTAAAAGTATGTCAACAACGATTTTTTGCATTATGTGCACTGGTAAGAACATGTTTTTGAATAAAAAATTTTATGTAGAATTATTTATTCATTCTTTATATTATAGACAGAATATACACCACGATATGTTGTAGCTTTAATTGGTTCATTTTTTGTTGTTATGGGTTTGGTAAGAATGATTATTTATGTTGTTTTACTAGATAGAATTTAAATATAAGATTATTTTTAGATTCATTTTCTTTGTTCTCTTGTTGCTAATTATGCTTATATAAAAGATGGTCGAAAATTGTGCGATTATGAAGATGCAATTCGTGAAGAAATGGAAACATCAAAACTTAATCGTGGCTAAACAATATTATTTGTTAAATGAAATTTATTTCTTCTTTTACTTATATAATATTGAATGGGTAGAAAATCAATTTTTTTTTCTCAATCTTTTGTTTTTTTTGTTTGTTTGTTTTATACATACTTTATTCTTATTCATATCAGTAGATTTGCGTGAATTGAATCGTTCAACGAATAATGATATTCGATGTGTCAGATTTATAAGTCCTTTTCACAAAATTTTGTGTAATATTTATGTGTATTTATATAATCATGTTGCTTCTCAGGTTTTTTTTTGTTGTTTGTTTATTAGCTTCAAGTTCTTTTCTTCAAAAAAACAAGTGCCTTTTTCACTTGACTTGTATATATAGATTGTCATATCTTTCTTTATACCATTTGTTTGTCCTATTAAAATGAATGAATAAATATAAAGTTTACTTTTCGGAATTTAATCTAATTAATATATAAAAAAAGTATATTGTGGATATATAGTCTACATGTTGTAGATCTACGTTTTGGATTTCTTTTTTTTTGTTTCCATCAATTCAAATAATTTATTCACATGTTTGAAGCGATTATAGCTTCATTACTAAAAGGCTATGTTGCTCGTTATGTTGATATAAATGCCGATCAATTATCAGTTCAATTACTTTATGGTCGACCAATTGTTGTGGAAAATTTAACATTTAATAAAGAAACACTTAATAATGATATACGAAAAAAATTAAAATTACCTATTGAAATTGAATCATTACATGTTGGTAAAATTCAATGTTCATTTGTATGGAGTTCATTATTTTTTCGTTCATCATCACCAGTATTAACAATTCTAGTTGAACATGTTCGTGCTATAATAAAACCAATTATACTTGATGATAATGAAAATCAAAATGAAGAATTTATTGAAGAAAATGAAATAGTTAGAAAACAAAATCATTTAGATTTATCTGAACAACAATTAGAAAAAGAATTTGAATATCTCGGCGAAGTTAAATCATCAGCATGGAGTTTAAAACGTTTAATATTATCATTTTTAGAAAAACTTCAAGTACATATTATTGATGTACATATTAGTTATGAAAGTTTTACATCTGATAATAATCCATATACAGTTGGATTATCATTTGATGATATACAAATATCAAATGAATTATCAAATGAAAATATGAATAGAAAAATATTTCAAATACATAATCTTGCACTTTATATTGATTCAAATACAAATAAAGATAATTCATTAAATCATTCATATATTCTTATACCATCAAATTCAATAAAAATTTATTTAACACATAATTATATACGTTCAGCATTAATTAATCGACAACAACCACGTTATGAACTTGAATGGACATTTAATGATTTAAGTTTAAAATCAAGTATTGAACAAATACGTATTTTATCAGATGTTATACGTTTTATTCATTATGCTAATACACATAGAAGATTTATTAATGATCCAAGTAGACCAAATAAAAAAATATCAAAACATACAGCAAAATTATGGTGGCGTTATATAACATTAGTTATAATACGTACACAAAATTATTTAAAAATTCCTATATCAAATGAACAAACACATACAACAACAAATTTTTGGTTTAATTCAATTTTATTAAATAAACGTTTAAAACAATTAGTAACATATAAACGTTTATATCGTTTATATCTTGATAATAAATATTTAAAACGTACAATAACAAATTCTTTTACACCAACAGATCGTTTAACTATGAATGAAATTGAAATGGAATTTGATCTTGCTTGTTTAATTAGAATTCGTCGAGTTATATTTCATAAACGTGCTAATGAACAATTTTCTTTAGTTAATAATAATAATAATAATAAAAAACAACAATCAACAAATATTGAATCAACAAGTTCATGGTATATGAGTTATGCAAAATGGATTAGTTCAAAAACAGTTGATTTATGGAAAACAACAACACCAACAGATACTAATCAAGCAATTATTGCAACTACAACATCAAACATACCATTAAATGAAAATGATAAAAAATTACAAGAACAAGTTAATACATTTATAGCACAATCATTAGAAGATGAAGATTTATCACAAAAACGTAGAGATGCTTTATATTTACGTTTAAAATTTGTTGTAAAATCTATACAAATTGATTTATTATCTGATAGTAATATTATTTTTTGTTTTTCATTAAATAATGTATCAGTATTAACAGAATTAAGACCAAGATATCAATCTGTACTATTTTATTTACGATTAGATGATTTAAATATATGTGATCGTTTAAGAACAGATGCATTTTCAAATATTGTTTGTCCTAAACAACGATCACACGAGTAAGTTATCGAACAATTTCTAGTAATATCTATTTATGTAAAGATTTTCTTGTCAGAAGAAAAGCAATAGACTTCTTCAATCTTGAAGTCTTAAAATTTGATGTTGTCTAACGAGAGAAGTCATCCACTTGATAAATTGCTTTTGAGTGGAGACTATGTGCATTATGTAGATCCGAATGAGTTATGAATACTTTGAAAAAAGTTCGTGTATTCTTAAGTTATTGCTGCATAGATGCTGCATTTTTACGATATTTTTTCATACAAATGCCGTGATTCTCATCAGAAACACCAGAAAAACTAATTTTCGAATTGAAACTTTCCATAGAGACAGGTCTTAACGAAATTAATTTATTGTCAAAGCTTCAAGTCTTTTGATTTGTTTCTATCGCCAAATAAGAACATCAAATCTGCCGATTTATATGATTGATGTAAAAGACCCACTATTAATATAGTTATATCTTACGATAAGAACAGTGACAAGATCTGAAACATTCATAATAAACAATTCTCGTTAAGGCCTGTCTCTATGCACATTTTCAAATCGAAATTCGAAAATTAATTTTTCTGCTACTACGGAATTCGTTTAAAAAAATATTATAAGACTGTAGAATCTCCTTAACAAGAAGCTAAGGTCACAAACTCTTTTCATGTCATTCATAGCTCATTTAGATCTACATAGTTACAACTCAAACCAATTTATCAGTTGGAGCGCTGTCATCTTTGTAAAGTTCTCTATTTTGTAATAATCAATACTAACGAACTTAGAAAAGAAACTATTGTTGACAGTCAGTATTATTTCTCGATTTATCATATGAATACAGATAAAACAAGACAAATACTTTTGTTCACATTACCGTATTTAACATATGTGTTCCGGAGAGTCTCAAGATACAATTTACTTTCTCCGTTTTCTTTCAATTACCATGAAATGTTACTATTTGTTTTTATTGTATTACAATTTATAAAAAAAAGAAATTATTCAAACAAAATGAATTGATTTTCATTCAACGAGAACCAACAAACCTTGAGTTTTCAATATTCACTTTTTTGTTTTTTGTTTTCCTTAAATTTTAATGCCTAATCATTATCAAAAAACTTTAGTTTTGTAAATATTTATTAGCATAACTGTTTGTTTTCAAAAATCTTTATTTTACATCATTGAAAAATAATCAAAAACAAGCTCTTTTTTCACTAATGATTTCATTTACTTTAGAACATCGATTGGTGCACAACGTGCTCCTGTCTTAGAATTTTCATATGAAACAAATCCTCCAGTACAACAACCAAAAACCAAACGTCTTTCCTTTACACTTGCTGTTCGTAGTCGTGGTCTTTGTTTTGTTTGTTGTCCAATATCTTTTGAACGTTTACGTGATTTTTTCTCATCAGCATTCATTGAACCATTTTCCACACCAACATCATCATCATCAACAATTCTTCAACATTGGACACATTTAAAAGATCGTACAACAAAACAATTAAAATCAGCATTTGAACAAATATTTTCTCGTACAACAACTAAAATGAGTTCATCAAATGTTAAAACTATCAAACAAGGTCAAAGACGATTTAAAAAAAAATTTCATATCTATCTTGATATTTGTGCACCACAAATGATTATTCCACAATCATCATATCGTGCATTAATTATTGATTTTGGTTATTTAACATTTATTAATGATGAATATAAAACATCATCATGTCCATTAAAAAATTGTAATATGCATAATAATACTACTAATAATAATGATTTAAATTCTCCATTATCAATAACAAATTATTTTCAAAAACGTCCATATTTTTTTAATGAACAATCATCATCAATAATTAATGAAAATGATGATGAAGAATTTGTAACACCTGATAGTTCACCAATAGCAAATGATAATTTACTTGAAATTGAAACAACAAATTATCCTGTTAATATTATTCCAAGAGAACACAATATATCACCAATAAATGATAATGTAAATTTAATATATACATCATTTTCATTATCATTATGTGATATGCAATTAGGTTATTTAACATATACAGATAATCAATCAAAAAATAATTTATCATCAATTATTGAAAAATTTGGTGTTTGTTTTTTAATACAATATCGAACAATACAAACTTATGATTTATTATATCCATTAATAAAAGTTTCAGGTACATTACCTAAAATAATTCTACATCTTGATCCATTACGTATTGAAACATTATGTGGTACAATTAATAATTGGGGTTCATTTATTGAAAATTTAACATCAACAATTGTATCAAATCAAACTGATATAACAAATGATAAAAATTCTATTGATGATTTAAATGCACGTTTAGCACTTAGTTTTTCAATTAATGAAATAAGTATACAATTAAGTGATGATTTACGTGCATTATCAGAAATACGTATACAAAATATTGATTTAACATTAATGAATCATATTTATTCAAATATATTATCATTTAGTGTTCATACATTAATGATTGTTGATGCTATACAAAATCATGGTAAAGATTATGAATTATTATTAACAAGTAATCGTGCATTAGATATAAATACACAAACAGGTACATTATATGAATCAAATAAATTATCATCAAATATTGATGATGAATATTTAATACGTATTAATATACAATCAATAAAAGATATAAATAAAAATGAAAATTGTTTAATTATTGATATACATGTTAATAAATTACATTTTGTATTTAATCCTGAAACATTATCAATATTAATTAATTTTATTGTTAATATAATTTATTCAATGAAAAATATATTTCGAAAAAATTTTAAAGAAGAAAATAAAACTAAATCAATTATTGAAAAAAAATATCAAACAAAATTTCAAATTAATAGTGAATTTCAAGAATTAAGTATTTTAGTTACAAATGTTTTAACAAAAAAATCATCAGAAAATAAATTTATTGGTAGTAAACTTGAAAAAATAGCTACAGCTAGAATTAAATATGCATCATTAAATATTTTTATTGAATCATCAACATTAGTTGAAGCTGAAATATGTTCATTACAAATATTTAATCTTTTACATGATTCATTATTCTTAATGAATAATGAAGAATCAAGTGCAATTATTAATCTTGGTATTGAAGATAAAAATATTGATACAAAAAATATTGATCATGATGAAATTTTACCAAGTAAAGCATTTCATCTTTTATATACACAAAAGAATGATAATACAAATAATAATAGCAATAATGAAATTGAAGATTTACTAATTGAAATGGCATCAGTTTGTTATACACATTCACCAAAAATTATTTTTAAAATTGAAAAAATTTTTAATTATATGGCTCAACATTGTCATTCAACAGCAGCTATTGAAATGGAAAAAATGAAACAAAATATGATCAAACAAGGATCAATCTTACTTAATCAATATGTTCTTTCAACTGAATCCGGTAAGATATAACACGCTTTATACATTCATATTAATCATGAAGTCTTTCATTTTCTTCTGAGCTCACCAATGACTTGATTTCGTTCATGATTTCTTTTTCTTGCACTATATACGCATTTCATTTCATAAAATAGTAGCAATCAGTACTATAATAGATTAATTTACAGAATCCGAAAAATATGCAATATCAAGACTTTCATGCATAAATTTAACAAGTGGAAACACATTTTCAAAGCATTTGTGCTTATTGAACGATGCTTTATTTGAATAAGTGTATCCCTTACAAAAATGCTTAAAACAAATTCAGACATTCATCATCAGTGTATGTGTATCATTTGTAATGCTCTTAAGATAAGAGTAAATCGCAAAAGGACAAAAATTTCAAAGAAATTTCAGATGAACTCATTTCAAATCATCTATGACCGAGATTGCGAGAGAAATAATCTCGTCCTACATCAAGAGTGTCATTTGTGCTAACAAGTAACACAAAAAGAAGTATATATGTTAGTCAATGAAAAAATTGAATTTCTTTTCGAGAATCTGATTTATAGTCAGTAAAATAAATGTGAAATGGTCAGTTATTAATTAATTATATTTATATGTAGATTTAAAAATTAGTAAATACAATCTATTAACATTCAATTATATTAAATGACCAACATAAGAATTGGAAAGGTTATAGAGTGAATCATTTTTATTCTTATTTTTCTTTTTCTCTAACTGTTCCACATATGTTCTCGTCCTTTTGACCTACTTCTTTTAACCTACATATTTTATGAATAAAAAGAATCATCGTTTTAATTCTTCTTATAGTTCATCATCTAAACCAAAGAGAAGGAAGCTTTTCAACTTCTTTCCTGATTGTTGTCTTTTCTATCCGGATATGCAGATATTTAGTGTTCTTTCAAATAAAAATAACCTATTTCGCATTTACAAAATTTGACGTATTTGTAACTATGTAAGTGGTACAAGTTTCTCAATATGAAAGCAATATATCAGATGAAGAGGTAGTGGAAGAAAATCATGAAATATATGAAAATAATAGAACCCTTAAAAGAAAGGAATCAACATTTAGGATTAAAAAAAGATGCATTTGATAATGCTGATGAAGCAGAAAAAAAGCATCCATTTCAAATCAGTGCTCAAAATATGATACCAGCTATACAAAAGTTGGGAGAAAAGTTTGTTACAGATACAAGAAAGTCAAGTGTCGTGATTCTCAATGTCGTTCAAGTATTTATCTGCTATATCATGCAGATAGTGATAAAGTAACCGTTTAGGAAACGGAAACTGAACACGAACATTATAATGGCGCAGTTTGTGGTATTGATGAAAATGTTGAAAAGCACATAGAAGATCTGTTTAATGATGGTATAAAGAAACCAAAACTAATTCTTTGAGCATTTCAATCAAGAAAAACAAATGTGCTAATGTTAGCACAACTAAACAATTATCTTGTCTATTATAGAAAAAAGAAATTTAGTTCACATAAAATAAGTTTATGTGAATTAGATAAATGGTGTGAAAATAATTAAAATATTTCAATTCATGAAAACGAATCTTTTGTTGTATCATATAAGATATTATATGATGATGAAGATGTAGAAGAACGTGTAGGATTGTATGTATGTGGATACGTATAGATCTTCTATCCATTTACATCCACATCCCAAAAAGATGTAGACCATCAAATGCTAGTTCTTCTTTACTAATATAATAATTCAATTTTCATTTTCTTTTTTTCTCGATTATGCCTTAAATTTCTTCTTCTTTATTCTGTCGTTCTTTGATTTACTCAAATTTATTTTCTACTGATAACTTTTGTATTTTTGACTGATATAAATTGAAATCTTTTACTGCTATACTGATATTCGATAAACTGACCATTTGACAATTAATTAGTGATAGTTTTAATACTGATTGTTTAATATTTATACTGATTATTAATAGATTTTTTTTTACTGACCATTTCATCTATTGTACTGATCACTTAAATTGTAGTCTGTTTTTTTTTTCATTTCTAGTTCTTCCAACAGAAAAACCAACACGTCAATTAAATTTAAATATTGTTCTTGCTACTCCAATTCTTATCTTTCGTCCTCAATCAAAATTACTTTTTACAAATGATCGTCTTATTTTTCATCTTGGTAATATTCATATTGAAAATTCTGAAAATCATTCATCAAATTATGAAATTAAAATCAATGATTTACATTTATTTTCTATTGATCTTGATCATGAAAATCGTCATAATCAAGGAACAAATTTAATACATATGTATAAAAATCCTCATTTATCATTACCTATACTTGATAATTTATCAATACATCTTAATCTTAATGTAACTGATACATCAACAACAATTGATTCAAAATTAGTTTCATCTGTACAAATGTTTCTTGGTAAACATCAAATAACACTTTTACAAAATATAATTAGTTCATTAACTTATAATGAAAATGATCAAATTGATACATTAATTACAAATCTATCCGATGATGAAGCATTATTATTATTATATGATCAAGAAGAAAATAATTTTCCATTAAATGATATATCATCACAAACACAATTTAATACATTTGCAATAAATTTTCAATTACCTGAATTAATACTTGTTTTTCAAGCTGATTTAGATTTAAAACCAACAAAAGTATGTGAAGCTATATTTGGACAATTTCAAATGTCTATTGAACAACGACATCAATTTTGTAAAAATATTTCACTTCATCTTAATTCTCTTCATATTAATGATCATTTAATTAAAGTTGATCAATGTCTTTTTTCAACACGTTGTCGAAACAATTCAATATCAAATTATTTTTCAAATGATCAAAAGATTTCATCATCATTTCCAACAGAAAATTATGATATACATAAATATTTCTCTTCAAATTCAGTACCAACATATATGGTTACAAATGAAAGTTCAACATTGACATTAAAATCATTATCATCATCATCAAATTCAATAAGAACAACTCTATCATCAATATCAGCATTTATTGATATTAATATTACACTAATGGATAAAAGACATGAACTATTTGATGGATTTAATATAAAAGCTGATGCACAATTTGGAGAAGTTGATATTAAATTTATTATTTCAACATGGGTTATGTTATTTGATATTATTGGTTTAATTGGAGGAACATCTTCGCCTACGATGACAGGTAACAAGAAACAAAAAGAGAATATAGTTTCATATTTTTACTTTTATAAAAACAGAATACAGTGAAACATCTATTTAGTGTACGCCTTCCTACCCTGAAAGTGAATATTGTTTTTGCAGCCTCGATTGCTTTTTAAATCTCTTTTAAATGAACACACAAGCACTCTTTTCCCTTACTTCTTTTCTTCATCATTTCTGGCTACTGTACTAAAATGGCTGTTCATTGTTTGTTATGACTGTACATATCAGACAAAGTGATGCCATCACAACGGTGGTGATGATTCATTACAATGTGAATTAGCTGGAAATCAAATATTTTCCTCGATTCTATGAATTACATGAATTTCGACTCGGATCAAACTCAAGTTTATCTCATTAGTCCTCATGAAAAGCTATATTCCTATCAATAGTTGGTACACGTCGTAGTGCTCAGCAGTACGCATAAATACTCTTACTAACTCATTCTTGATATTGTGGGTTGTCCGACTAGTTAGTTCGGTAATGCAACCACTCATTGAACAACTGATGACTTCAACTGAAACATTTGAACTACAAAATTCATACACTACTTTTCGTCTACTGACACACAACATTATCTCTCAAAATGTCTTTTTACTGAGCAGAAATATTCATACTGCGTAGCACTACGTCATCTTGCTGAACATAATTCAAGAACTGTGATTTGATCTAAATGCGCACTGCTGAGCTGTATGTTTTAATGACTATGCATAATTCCTAAACACTACGGAGTATAGTAACTATTCGTAAGAATAAGGCTTTTTATGGAGATTATCGAGGTAAACTTGGATTCGATTCGGTCGAAAATTTCAATCTCCGAACTCTGTATCTAATATTTTAAAACGAAAATTAAAAAGTTCTGATGTAATAAAACTTGATCAGTACGTATATATTTGGCTACATATGTCGAGCCACAAACAACAATATAGAAGTTTGTCAAACAAAACAAAGTTTTGTATTCCGTTGAAAATTTTTTCGTTTCAAAAACAGAACATCTCTCAATAGTAAACACTTTTCAAAAGTCCTGGCGATAGTCATCCAACAAGAGAGACGTCCTTCAACCGCTCAATCGCTTTTGAGTTGAGATTATGTAGATCTCAACGAGTTATAAAAATCCTAAAAAGAGTTCATGCTTGTAGGTCATTGCTACGAAGATCCTGCAGTCTTACAGTATATTTTTAAATGGCTGCTGTGGTAACAAGAAAACTAATTTTTGACTTTCGACTTGAAAATTTGCATAGAGACAGACCTTAACGAGAATAGTTTATTGTGAATATTTCAAATCTTGTGGTTGTTCCTATTCTTTTACGTTGATTATATAAACCAGCTGGTTTGATGTTCGTATTTCACGATAGAATCAAATCAAAAGACTTGAAACTTTCACAATAATCTATTCTCGTTAAAGCTTGTCTCTATGCAAAGTTTCAAGTCGAAATTTGAAAATCAGTTTTTCTGTTATGTTACTATGATATTCATTTAAAAAATACCACAAAAGTACATTATCTCCATAGCAATAACTTAAGGATGTCAACTTTTTAGCGAATATTCATAGCTCATTTGGATCTACATAATGTATATAGTTTCAACTCAAAAGCGATTGAACAATTGGAAGACTTCCCTTGTGAAAAAGATTTTACTGAAAATTTCAATCTGGAAATAATCATTAAAAAAAAGCATATATATGTATATAATTTTCTTGTTGTTTTCTTTTTTTTTTTGGTGTAGATATTCGAGAAAATAAAGAATTTACTCCAACATCAGATACAGATTCAATGCAAATAAATATTCATATCGATGCAGTATCATGTCTACTTCAAGATGATCATATACCTCCTATACGTATTTCATTACAACGTTTTGATTGTCAATTTGAAAATTTTCTTACAATTGAAAACGCATTAAAAACTCTTATTATTAATGGTAAACTTGGTTCCGTTTCAATACATGATTTATCATCATTTGGTGAATTATATGAAGAACGTTTTTGTACAAGTGGTACAAATGCACTTGTATTTAAATATACAAAACAAGAAGATCTTATACCAATAACATCATCAAATTTTCCATCACGTTTACAACTTTATTTACGTATGACATCTGTACAATATATTCATACTCAACGTTTTTTAATGGATCTTATTCATTTTTTTGATCTTTTTAATCATAATCAAGAATGTTATAATCGTATACGATCAGCAGCAGCTGGACAAATAATATCATGTTCAGCTGGACGATCAACTGGTATTGAACTTGATATTGAAGCTGAAAGTCCCATACTTATATTACCTGAATATGCTTTAAGTAAACATGTTATTATTCTTTATCTTGGTAATATAATAATAAAAAATCGTTTTCTATATGAAAATGAACCAGGTACATTAAGTTCAATAATGGATAAACAAAAAAATTCAACATGTTTACTTGATGTTATATCAATACAAATTCAAGATACATTACTTTATTCAGCTATATATTCAAAATTAGATTCAAATATAAAATTTACTGTTAAATTTTCAAATTTTGGTTTTCATACAATACATAATGATTTATCATCAATGTTACGTGAACGTTGTTATTTAAATATACATATTGAACGTAATCTTGATAGTTCATTAAATCATTCATCACCAACATATAGTATTAAAGCTGATTTATCATCAATAGATATTCTTCTTGATACATATCAATATTCACTTCTACGTGGTATACTTGCATATAACATAGGTGAACAATTAGAACAACCAATACGTTTAGCAATGATGAATGATGATCCATTATGTGTATCAACAATATTAACTGGTGATGTTTATCTTGATTTATTATTTATTATACAAATGGATAATGTTGGTTTTGAAATATTTATACCAAATGAATTAAAACGTTATTCATTAGGTTATTGTGCATTTTTAAAATCAAATTTTTCATTTGAAAAATATTCAAATAATAATCAAATACTTGATTTAACATGTACATCAATTAAATTAAATGATACAAGAAATGAAAATAATAATCAATTTCGTGATATACTTACATCATCATCAACAATGTTAACAAGTAAAAGTAATATGCAATTAGAAATACATTTATTTTCAACAAAAAATGATGAAAAATATACAATTGTATTAAATCATACAAGAATATTATTTATTATTGATTGGTTATTTAAATTAAATGATTTTCTTAATTCATTTCAACAGATACCAATACAAATAAATTCTATAACATCATCATCAGCAGCAGCAGCAGCAGCATCAATAATTCAAACAAAAAAAAATTTTGAATTACGTTTAAATGTTAATCAATCTGAACTTGTTCTTGTTCAAACAACAAATAATCAACAATCAAATGCACTTGTTTTAAGTGGTATTATGATGTTAGCATATCGAGAATCAATACATGAACATCCATTAGATTGTAATTTATTTAATGTTACTTTATTTTCATGTCAAATGAATAATATACAATCAACAGCTGTATCTATTATTGAACCAATTAATATAACATTTAATATACATTTATCAAAAATTAATAATGAACATATATTTGAAATTAATTTACCACAATTATTTATACGTTTATCATATTCAGATGTTAAATTAATGTTATATATGTTTGAATCAATAAAAAAACAAATTAATTATGCACAATCACGTGATATAATACCAAAATATCGAATAAATCAATTAATAAAACGTTCATCAATTGATAATAATAATGATTTTTTAATAGATTTATTATCTTCTGAAGATAATCATATTGATTTACGTATGAATTCAAATATATTAATAAATATTGAAAAACAACAAAATTTAATTGAAGATAAAAATAATGAAAAAACATCAAAATTATTTTTAAATATTCATTCAATAAAATTTTCATGTGAACAAATATGTCTTTGTTTAATTGATGATTGTCTTAATGCAAATATTCCATTATTAAATTTAAATTTAACATTAATTAAATTAAATTTAATTGAATATGAAACATACAGTTTTTTACAAGCAGATTTACAATTAAATATTGATTATTATAATCGTTTATTATCTGGTTATGAACCATTTATTGAATTATGGCCATTACAAATGCAATTTAAAAATTCTAATACAATAAAATCAATATTAATTTCTTCAAATCATTTATTAAATATAAATTATACAAAAACAATGCATGAATTATTTGATTTAGTTAAAAATAATTGGCTTGAAGATTATTATAATACGAATGATTTAATTAAAGAAACAATGTATTTTCGTCGACCAAAACCATTTGAACCATATTATTTTAAAAATCTTATTGGACAACGTGTTAAATTTCGTACATGGTTATCATTACAACAACGTTTTGATTTAAATGATCATATTGTTGAATATAATGAAACAAAATCATTTATATTTCCAATTGAATCATCAACAACAACAAAAAAAAATTTCAATAATAAAGAATTACAAACATCATCATCATCATATTCTGATCGACGTTTATTAATATCAATCGAAGGTTGGGAATGGTTACAACCCTTATCAATTGATCGTGTTGGAACTTTTTTTCGACTTGCTACACCATTAGGTGGTGAATTAAAAAAACCTATACTTGTTTTTATTGATGTTACAATGACTGATAGTTCAATGCGTTTAATAACAATTCGATCACCTATTGAAATACGTAATCAATTATTAACATCAATTGATATTCGATTAAAATGTGGTTCAGGTTCATTACATGATATTCGTTTAGAACCAAATGAAATTCGTTCATTACCATTAGAATTTTGTTCAGCATTAAGACAATTTCAAGTACGTCCAGCTGATCTTACATTTAATTATTGTGCTATACCTATTAATTGGATAGAAATTGCTAATGAACAAAGACAAAGAGGAAAACAAGATGATGAAAGGTAACCAAAAAACAAGAAATAAATTCATTATAATACGAATACTTTTAATGAAAGTTTATTTTTCTTTTTTTGTTTGGATATAAAATGTTAGAGAAACAAACTATTGAAATAGTTTAATGATCTTCATGAGGATCGTTTGTTTTTTGTGATTTGATCTAAAGTCTAGAATTCGAGGTGTAAGCCAATCCCTTGATGAGAGAGCCTCTTCAGCTCCTTCCTTGGGATTTTAATGATATTTTACCTATAGATGCTGCATAGTGTTCTAATAAAAATCCTAAAAATATTCCGATTTCTATTGATATTCGGCTAAGCTATCAGATTTTTCAATATGTCTTTTTTCTGGAGGCCCTAGATTTTCGAAAAACTCATATTTTCAAATCTTGGCCTGAAACTTTGTGCATATAGAGAACTCAACTGGATTAGCTTCCATTAAAAAATTCAGAAATTTTGAACAAAGTATCTTCAAGATATAGACCCTTTTCGGTATATAATGTATAAAATATGCATGTTTTCAAAGTTTCATATCTCGAAGAGACTTTGTTCAAAACTTCTGAATTTTTTTTAAGGAAGTTAAACTAGTTGACTTCTTAATATACGCAATGTTTTAGATCAAAATCCGAAAATACGAGTTTCCCGAAAACTTGGACTCTCAAGAAATAGACATATTAAAAATTTGATAGCTTAGTCAAATATCAATAGGAATCCAAATCCTTTTGGGGTTTTTATTAGAACACTATTTAGTATCAAGTGGCGAAAAACCATTGAAATCAGAAGAGGACAGCTGAAGAGGGTACTCCGGTTAGCTGTCGCGTGAGACACAAAAATAGATTTTCAATTTTTAAAAATTTTCTACATCTCAAATCATATGTTGCTGTCTGATTTTTTGCTAACAGGTTCTCTATCATCATTTTCTGTCTTTCATTTCAAAATTTCTCGGACTTTAGAAAACTTTCAAATGAATCATCGAAAACTTTCAGCCGCTGGGCAATGCATCGGCATACACGCCCTATCTACAATCTATTTTTGAGATGTTTATAATCCAGAAAAAAAATATTTCTTTTATTTTTTTTTTAGTAATGATAATACTTCGACAATGGGAACAAATTCCTTACAACGTCATCGTGATATAAATTCGACTGATCGTCGATCATTTTTTCGTGCATGTGCAATAGTTACAAATGATATAGTTTATAATGTATGTATACAATCAAAACGAACTCGTTTATTAGCATATAAAGATCAAGTCCTATCATTATATCAAATATCTATACTTTCACCATTAATTATCAGTAATTTACTTCCATGTGATTTATTTTTTCAAATATATCCATATACATCAAAAGTTCGACTTAATCCATATAAATCACATCGTGAACATACATTAAATATTAGTGAAGCTATTGATATACTTTTTGCTACAGATCTTTATCACATGACTAAACCATTACATGTACCATCAATAAATGATTTAAATCTTATGAGATATCATCATCAACGTATAGGTTTTTATGATAGTATTGATCGATTGTTATTAGTCGATGTTACAATTGTTTGTTCTATTCGACATCGTCTAAAAATATCAGTTTCTGTTCCGTATGTTTTACTCAATAAGAGTGGTATGTTTCTTTTTTTTTTATTTATTTTCATATCAATTTTGTTTTTATTTTAAATTATTAATTTATATATTAGGTATTCCATTGATTTTCAAACAAGAAGGTTCATCGAATGAAACAGCTGGTCAAACACATGAACATGAATTAGCACGAAATCGTGAACCATTATTATTTTCATTTAGTGATCAAGAAGCTTTTCATGCATGTGTAATGAAAGTTGGTTCAGGTTTACATAAAAATAATGATGGTCGTCCAATATGGTCACAACGTTTTACGTTAGGTAAAATTCTTCTTCTGCCATATTTGTTCATCATTAGAAAAAACAAAAGACATAATTTGATTTTCTTTGTATTTTTTTTGCTAGAACATGGTTCAAGTTATCGTCAATTACATGTTCGTTCTCCTCATGGCTCACCTGATTGGATTTATTATATTGGTATTGATGTTCGTCAAGGCAAAGGACGTTTACGTCGAACAAATTTCATTTTTCTTAGTACACGATATATGATTAGTAATCAATGTTCATATGATTTATCCATTGCTCAACGACATATTGTTCGAGCTATGTTACAAACTGGTGATCGTAGTGATTTAGAACAAAATTGTTTACATGTATTAAAACATTCGAATGTTGCTTATCATTGGCCAAGAAGTGATCTTGATCAATTGTTATGTGTTCGTGTTATTAATAATCGTCAATATAAACATGTTTATTGGTCTGGTGGTATTCCTATTAATCATGTTAATGCATTTCATATTAATATAAGATATGATAATAATCAATGTTTAATATTAAGGTAAGTTGAGATTGTGTGACACAAGCAGAACAATAAATATAACCAATGTCGTGCAAATTATGGTTCTTCTACTAAATTTTTTTAAATATCTCACTACATAGATATTTTTAAATGTGTTCGAAACAAGTTAGATTTCACTAAAAATCGCGCCTGCGAAGGAATATGATCGAGTTCATGCCGTCATTATCAACCATATCTGCTGTTTTCAAGTTGAATTATTCATTAAAGATGGTGCCACAAAAATAGTCACGAGTTAGATAGAAGACTTAATCAATAGGGAAAAATGTGGCGTTATTTGATAGTGTATCCGGTAGCATATTAAAATCAACTTTTTTGAGTAGCAATCGATCTCTTCAAGACATAAAAATATTAATTTAATAGAAAAATCATTAAGAACTTGATAAAAACAAAACTCAGTAAACTGGTCAAATCGTCAGTTTTGACGAAAAATTAACGACATAGGAAATGTATCATCCAATACATTATTGCAAAGAATACTTTATTTTAAACGAAAAACAAACAAAGATGTAGAAACTATTTAGCTTTTTGTGAAACATGACCTAACCGGAATGTTAAAGTATAGGGTAGACATCGGAATGCCCCACATATCGTAATAGACATTAGCTAAAGACCGTGGGCATGCCATAGATCGTGAGAAATAATAGTCAACGACTATCATAGACGTCTTACCAGCATTTTTTCCTTCCATAGTGTGCATCTAGACGGATATTAGATGAAAAAACAAAAGTAAACTTTGCATGAGTTCAAATGGTAGTAAATATATTTCAAGACATCTTCTATAAGTTTTTTTTTATTAATAATATGTGAACTATGTTATATTTATATTTCTGAATGATTAAGTAAAAGTATGGTGAAGAAATGTGTCTTCAAATAGACCCTCTTCCTATAATTAACAACAGCAGTTGTATAAAACTATGTAAGTCACTTTATTTTTATTATATTTTAGAGTCCAAGTAATTGAACGTGGTGGTACATTTTTTGTTGTTTTTATGGATTCGAATCAAATGCCTGCACCGCTTCGTATTAAAAATCTTTCTGATGTTCCTATACAATTTTATCAAAGTGAAACACGAGAAGAATTAACTTATTTACGTGCATTTATTCAACCACATCAATCAATAGATTATGCTTGGGATGAACCAACACTTCAACAAACAATAACATGTTCTGTTGTTGGTGGTACAAAAGAAACTTATGATTTACAAAAACTTGGTCATGGAGAAAATTTATGTTATGAAAATCATATATGTTTAGCATTTGAACAAACATTTAATCAAGAACCAAAAATACAATATCAATCAAAATATTCAATACAAAAATCTAAATCAATTAATGATCGAAATACATTTCAATTATTAAATCAACAACAACTTGTTATTGATTATATTCAAGGTAAATTAATACTTGCACAACGTGAAGAAAATAAACGTTCACAATTATGGCGTATGACAAGTAGTGGTTTATTAGTACATACAGGTTCATCATCACCACGTGATTGGAATAATAAAAATGTTCCATCCGATGATATTCGACAATCATTTGTCTTAGATATTGAAGAAACTTCAACAACTAATTTAAAAAATATTCATTCAATGACACGTTCTATACGTTTAACTATTCGACGATATGATCCTAAACGAATATTAACACAAACATGGACATTTAAAGATGATGGATATTTATGTATGGGTGAAACACAAATGTGTGTACAAGTATTAGGTGAATTAAAAGAAAAAAATGAAATTTTACTTGGACCACGTCGTTTTAATGAACAAGGTATAATACTTCCCCCATTACCAACAATGTATATTCGACCACGTCGACGCTTACAAGGTTCAGGTTTTTTATCTGTACGAACATATGCTGATGGACCAACACGTATACTTGAAATAGCTAATGTTAAAACAAGTAATTCATTAGATAATCTCAAATCAGAAACATTGATGCAAACAACAACTGATAATATTCCATTGATGAATTATCAATTTGATCTTCGTCTTGCAAGTGGTATTGGTGTATCAATAATTAGTTCAATGGGACGTGAATCGGAAGAACTTATTTTTATGATATTTAATGATATTAATCTTGCATATAAAGATGATAATAATGAACAATCTATTGATTGTACAATTGGTACAATAGTTATTTCAAATCAATTATTAATGACATCAACACCATGTTTACTTTATGCAACTTATTTTGAAGATGCATCTATACGATCAGCTTTTCGTTTACAAGCAAGTTTACAAAAACCGACTGCTAATTATAAGTAAATCAAATTATTTCAAAAGTTATTTTTTTCTTTTTACCTTTATGAAACACGATCGAAAAGGAGCGTTGAAGCATACGAGTAAAAATACGTAGACCGACAGAAATTCTTAGTAATGTCTTGCCTTCACCATAGTTCGTGATACAGGCCTTTATAAGCATCCAGTGCATACGATTAGAGCGGGGAAAACAACGTGATTTTTCCCTCCTAAATTTTTCTTGCATTCTGTATTTCTTCCTGGAAATTGTGCACAACTAACATTTTTTTTATAGTTCGGTGGAACAGATTGCTTATGTAAAAGTAAAATTCTGTTTACAACTTCTGAAAGAAAACTAGTTGTTTTCTTTCAGAAAGTGGAACTGAATCAAGTATATATTTTGAAGAGTGATGTGTTAAAAAGACAATCCAACTTAATATCTGGACAATAACTTCAAGTGCCCTTTTACTGAATATGTTTCGACTAAGTAGCTTATTAAATATTTGATGCAGATGTTATCTTAAAATACATAAATCATAATATTGATATAGTGTACTTTTTTTGAATATGATGTTTACAACACTTTGGTAGGATATCATAGGCGACACATGACCAATTATTTTAGGTGAAGCAATAAAGTTTTAAATGAGTCTAGTTTGTTTCTCTATTCCAAGAGTAGAGGGTGTGAAGAACACCCACACCACTCTACTCGCGCGTCACAGACCGTGTATCAATAACGTCTCGTTCAACTCTACTTCCTTATTGCATTTCTGGAGGATTAACTAAAATTATGGTGAAGAAATGTGTTCCAAAAATCGATAGGATAAAACAATCTCTCTTTGTGACTAGTAACAGCAATTGCATTGTGTTTCATATTTTAGTCTTGTAGAGAGAGTGTACTAACAGCTTTTTTTTTCCTCTCTTATTTAGACAATTGTATATATTTCATTATTTATTTATTGGTTTAAATTCTATTACAATTAAAATTGATGAAATTCTTCTATGGAAATTATTTGATTTTTTTAATATTAATTTTTCTTCATCATCAAATGATAAAACATTAAAAAATGATGATCAAACATATGATTTAGATGAAGGTGAATATGATACACAACGTTTATTATCATTATTAACATCAACACAAGCAACAAGAATTTATTTTTCAGAATTATCAATATCATCTATTGATCTTGATTTAAGTGTTTATTGTAGTAATTCACGTTCATTACCAATACATTTATTAACAATAAAACGTCATGCACCATTTCCATTAATACGTTTTGAAAATGCACCAATACATTTAAAATCTTATGATCAAATACATATATTTAATACATATGATTTTTTTTTACTTGCACTTACAACACATTATGTTGATGAACTTAAACGACAAGCATTTAAAATCTTAGGTAGTGTTGATTTTCTTGGTAATCCACTTGGATTATTTAATGATGTAACTGATGGTTTTGCAAGTCTTGTTGATCATGGTAGTGTTACTGGTTTAGTTAAAAGTGTTGCACATGGTGTAGCTGATTCAACATCAAAATTTACAGGTACACTTTCATATGGACTTGGAAGACTTGCTCTAGATGAAGAACATGATGATATGCGTGAAGCTATTGCAAATAATTATCGTGGTTCATCTATAGGTCATGTTATTGGTGGAACAGTAGGTTTAGCAGCTGGATTTATTGGTGGTTTAACATCAATTATAACACAACCATATAAAAGTATTGTTGAAGATGGTGTTGGTGGTTTAATGAAAGGCGTTGCTAAAGGTATTGTTGGAACAGTAAGTAAACCAATGGTTGGTATACTTGATTTTGCAAATGGTTTAGCATTAGCCGTTAAAGAAGGTTCACGTTCATCAAATTCAATAATTAAAAATCGTATAAGAACAACACGATGTCCAACAAATATCTATGGACTTTTACAATCATATTCAACATTTGATGCTAATGGTCAATGTTTATTATATCAAATGAATAAAGGAGATTTAACAGAAAGATATATTACACGAATAAATATTTCACAAACACCTGCTAATTCATCATCGAAAAGAAAATTAGATAATATTAATAATGATGAATATGCATCTGATCAACGAAGTTGTTGTATCCATGTATGAAATTTAAATTCATTTTAGACAAAAATAAAAATAAACTTAATTATTTATATTTTATTCTAGGTAATGATTACATCTCAACGTGTAATTATCTATCGAACAGACACTAATCAAGATGAATCAGATTATGAAATAACTGACATATATGATCTTAGTTCAATTATAAATGCTCTTGTAATAGGTTGGTATAATTTCTTTTAAGTTTTCTCAAGTATAACTAGACAAAAAATTTTCAAACATTCAATAATTGATAGATTTTGATAAGTAGAGACTAATATTTATTATCAATTCAAAACTGCTCAATAGTTCTTTGCTTACAAATGCTAAAGGTCTATATTAATAAAAAAAAACTGACCTAAAGTTGACTCATTTCTTCTTCCTTTGGACTGAAATTTTTCGTGACAACTTCACAAACAATTTTGTTTTGCGTTAGAAATATCGCTTCTAAAACTAGAAAGAATCAACATGCAGAAAAAATATCTTTTGTTAATAGTGTTAATAAAGAATATGCTTACAAGGAAATCATTCGAATTGATACCATCCGTTTGAGCTTATATTGGACTGACAACGGACGCCTAAATAAGACTAGCAAAGGTCTCGAAGAGTTCATCGTCACAGATCTCTAGAGCAGAATTATGATCGTTGTATTGATTTTTTTAAAGCTAGCTTTAGATGTTTACTGAAACATGAAAAAAAAAACAGAATTTCGACTTGAACTTTTGCTCATAGATAAGTCGAATGATTCTTAGAATATCTGGAAACTTTCAGTCGAAAAGAATGTTCTTTTGTCAAGATATTGGATTTCCAAGTAAACTCGATTTTGTATCATGTTTGTGGCGAATGATTCGTTTTTAGAAATTCGATATCTCAACAAAAGAATATTCTTCTCGGCTGAAACTTTCAAGAAATTCTAAATGTCATTCGACTTATCTATAAGCAAAATTCTACATCGAAACTCTGCCTCTTCAATCAACTCTTACACTCTCAAAAATTCAGTAAAACAGCCCTAACTTGACTTGAAAAATTCCTGAGGACGAACCTTCTTAGGCTTTTTTTAATCTTACCAAGACCTCCTTTATGGACTCAATATAAGCTTAAACGATGAGTATAAGTTCTGGTAGTTCCCTCGTTAGTAGTAGGTGAAAAATATTTCAATTTATCAAATAATCATAATAAACAAAAATGAGAACGTAGGATTGGGAAAAGAACTTCATTTAAAACATTGTTTTATTGAATTTGTTACATTTTTATTAATTTAGAGGATGAAAATCGTCGACCATATATAGAATTTCTTCATAATCAACCTCAACGTTCGAGTAAAATAACAGCAACAACAACAACAAGTGGAAAACCATGTCAACGTTCTCTTCTTCGATGTGATTTACATGATCGAGCAATGCGATTAACTCGTGATATTCAACGAGCTAGAGAAATTTTTGAAGAAGAAAAATTTACATATATCCCACCAGATGATGAAAATAATAATAATGATGATGATGATGATATTCCAAATGATCAACAACTCGATGAAACAGTACAAATGACTTGATTCAATTCAACTATCAATAGTCTTCCATTGTACAGTTTATATATACATATATCTAACAATAAACATATCAAATCCATGTTTTTGTTTATTGATGTTGAATGTTTGTGTGTGTATGATTCCGTCCGTTTTTCGTTTGAATATCTATTTTTTGTCATGAACACAAAATCTATATATTCTTCTGTTTTTTTGTGTTTTATTTACGTATTTAAGTTGTTCAAGACAATACATTGTTTATTTTTTCATTTATAGAAAACATCTCATATAATTCTCACAATGGTGGCTTTTCTTTCTTAAGATAAACAATATAAATAATTTCAAAGAAATTTATTATAAGTTTTAGAAAAGATTTATTTTTTTAAAGAAGTGATGGATGTAACAGCATGTAAAAAACTTTTCGATTTATGTTCACAATCATTGAGTAGTACTGAGGTTGGTCGTTTAGTTTTTCGAGATAATTTAATAATAATAATTTCGTTGTGTTTTTTTTTTGTAGAATGAAAAATTCTTTGAAGCTTGCCAATTACTTTGTTCTGTCATTCCTACTATATCTAATGTATGATTATCAGTTAGTTTAAAACTATTTCTTCGATTATTTGTATACATATATATATCTATATATATATATTTTCACTATTAGGATGTATTTCAATCGTTACCAGATAATATCTTGCTTGATAGTCTCGGAAATCTATTACAATGTCGTCTTCGTAAGTTTTTTAAGAAAAAAAAAGACCTAGAATTTTTTGTTTATATATTTATTCTATTACTTAATAAGGAAATGAACAACGTGCTATTCTTATTGATGTCTATGCTTGTTTGATAGAACAGCATAAATCTGTTTCGTTTCTTTGTAAACATAATAAAAATCTATTCATACTATTGGTTCTTTTGTGTGCTGTTGAAGTACGTATGATGGTCGAAAATTCTCAAATAAATGAAGTAAATACTATTACATTTTTTGTTGATATTATTTCAATGAACTATTGTTTTCGTCTATGATAGATTTTAGAACATCAACAACATCTTGCTGCTTGTTATTTAATCATTGAATATACGATAGCTAGTGTTTGTCAATCCGATGACTTAACCGATGATGATGTTTCATCTGTTCTTCCTAAACTAATTGAAATGTTTCATGGTTGTATCTTTCTCATCGATCAAATTATTGAAAATGTTGAAAATAAACAAGTAAAAATCATCTAGAATTATTTTATTTTTATCGGAAATTGTTTTTCTTCTAGATATTTGATACAGTTCTTCAAGCAACTGTTCGTATACTTGGAATTTGGTTAAGTCAAGAACCAATGGCCTTGAAAACAGTTGTACAACCTCATTTAAATAAATGGATGCAATATGGGTAGATAAGATTTTTTTTTGCTATTAATTATAGTATCCATTTTTTTTTCTTTTATTTACTTTAGATTAAATACGCCAACTTGTACTGAAACTTTTAAAAAGTTTCTTGAACCAACTTTAAAATCTTATGAAGAAGATTAAGATTCTTTATTCATAACTAATATCTCTTCATTTACTTCATAATTATAGTCATGATTAATTTGTTCTTCTTATTCACGAGAAGCAGTACTCACATTATTTGTAATATAATAGTTTCTTGTCTAAAAGAATAAAATAAGAAAATATCGCTTCGAAATAGAAAGTGAATAGACAAAAAGAAACAGTGTTTGAACGATCTATCCTTATAACTAACAGCAACAATTTCCATTAAGCAAACAAAAAAAAGTAATCATCGATGAATTGTTTCATGTAAGAAAATTAAAGTAGTCAAAAAAGTAGCAAATTATCTATATTAGGTAAGTAATTCAATAAACAATGTTCTTACTTCTAAAAAGTAAAATCATCGATACAGGTTTCTATTAGCTACTCTAAATGATATTTTCCTTTGCTTAAAAAATACTTTTAATAATAAACATAGCCGAATTTTTCCTTCTTAGTTTATTAAGATAGGTACACGAAAGGATAGCCCGAGGCGCCTAATATTTCATAAATGACATAAACTCTTTTACTTGGCATCTCCTACTTTGAGAACAATCTTTGATAATTTCTATTATCATCTGCTTGAAAGCTGCTGTTTTTAGAAAACAAGCAGGAAATTCACTTTTTCATTTTTTCTTTGTTTAGGTTTTTTTGATTGTACATCCCAGATTTCTCGAAGGCGCTTCATTGTAGTCAATTGGGTTTTGATGCTTGAAAGAACATGTCAAGACATAGTCTCTTTTTTGAATCAAGCTTTGTTTCTACTTTTTAAAAGAGTACATTTATCATTAGAGTGTCATTTTTTTTTGAGAACTTTGCTTCGTTTACAAAGTAAAAATTTAAAAAATAACAGGCTCTGTCATGATCTTTCACACAAAAACAAATTAAACATATGAAATGAAGATTCACAGAGAATTTTGAACTACCAAATGATCGACCTTTTTACATTTGTTTGTTGAACATCTTCCGGAAACGTTATGGTATAAGACTGAACATTTTACTGTAGCTTCTTTACTATAGCCTCAATATAAATTGAAAATTTCATGTGATTTGAATGTATTTGGCCTAAGATCGATTTTTTGACGGCGACAGGAGATTCTCCTCTTTTCCGAAATTTCTGAAGGATGGCTCTTCAGAAATATTCGAAACTTTCAGGATAGATAGATCCTCTGTGAGTAGAGCAAAAGTTGTTATAGACTCCAAATTTCCAAATACTTCCTTCTAGGAAATATCTGGATTGTAAAGGCTAAAAACCACCGCGCATTTTCAGTTGCAAAACGTCCAATAGAGCTGATAGTTTTTTTTACAGATACTAGACAGTGTTTGAGATGCCTACTTTTTATTTCCTTCTGTTCGAATAATAAGATCAAAATACCGAGCGTATCTCCAAAAATACATGTTTTTGTAAAATCTGCCAAGAATCAACAGTGCAATATTTTTTCAAAATAAAAAAAAGCAGGCATCTCAAACAGTGTCCAATACCTGTAAAAAAAAGTTCCAGTTTGATCAAACATACTATATCGGAGAAGCGCGAGACAATTCTGTATTACTCTTGTGTCAAAATTGATTTTGAGAAAAATGAATAACAAATTTTCCTGTATGTATGAGGACTTGTTTTTTCTCCAACTAAAGTGATCGAAAACTGCCCATGTTCAGCAGTGTTAGAGATCGATGATCTATGCTATCAACATCTTTGAAATGAGGAAATAATCGTTATCATCAGGAGAAATTTGCATAGAAAGAATAATCACAGCACGAATTTTTCTGATCAAAAAGATTTTGATTTTAACATTCGGAAATGATGGAAGAATCCCCGTAAACACGTTGTGATTCATTCTATCTACAAACAACTGATTGAATCGTACGTCAAAAGCAAACAATTTTCCTATTTTTTTCAAATTATTAATTATACTTGTAATCTCATTGCCCACGAAACAACAATTTGTTATGAATTATTCTCAGATGACGCTAGCTGACATAACTGAAAAAATAGTCTTCGATTTGTGATTTGTCACATGTAAAATGGTTAGTTATGAATGATGAATGAAAAGAAAAATAATCAGTGCCTATGACAATACTGTTTGACAAAAAGCTGAATTAATTTTCAATTGCATCGTCAAACGTAACATCAATAATAAGCACTAACAATATTTAATTTCGCCAATTATGCCCGACGAAGTTTCTGATTTAACACCAATGCTTAGTCCAGATACAGAAAGCAGTGTATGTTTTATTGAGATTTATTATTTTTTTATTTAATTATTTTTTTGTTTGATTTTGTTTCTAGGTCCTTATTAAATCTACATCATCACGAGGAAACAAATATAAAAATGCAATAACAATGATTGTTTTATTTCTTATTAATTTATTAAATTACATGGATCGATTTGCTATTGCAGGTAGTTTGGTGGTTTTTTTTTTCATAAAACAGAAATGAAATTATGAACTCATGATTTAACTTGTAGGTGTTCTTGAACAAATTCAAGATTATTTTGACATTGGAGATGCTGAAGCTGGTCTTCTTCAAACAGTATTTGTTTGTAGTTACATGGCTTTAGCACCTCTTTTTGGTTATTTAGGGTACATAGAAGAAAACGTACAAAATAAAAAAACTAAATCTATTTAATTTTTTCTGTTGCAGAGATCGATATAGTCGAAAATTGATGATTATCTTAGGTGTGACTCTTTGGTCAATAACAACTATAGCTGGATCATTTGTACCAAAACATGTAAATTTCTTTTATATATAATATAACATTAATTTAATATATGTATTTTTCTATAAGTTATTTTGGCTTTTTGTATTATTACGTAGTTTAGTTGGTGTTGGTGAAGCATCGTATTCATGTGTTGCACCGACAATTATTGCTGATATATTTACACATGATATGAGAACAAGAATGTTAGCTGTTTTTAATATTGCTGTACCACTAGGGGGGTAAAATAAATTTTTCTGTTAAAGATTATTTTAACAAAATGTTTTATTTTAGTGGTCTTGGATATATTGTTGGTTCTTATGTTTCAAAAACATTTCATGATTGGCGATGGGCTTTACGAGTAGATCATTGTATTGATTTATAATTTTTGATAATCTTACTTTATATATTTTAGGTTACACCTGTTTTTGGTGCAATATGTGTTATTTTACTTATTGTACTTGTTACAGAACCCGTACGAGGTAGTGCTGATGGTGCTCATATGCAAAAAAAATCTAGTTGGCTTTCTGATGTTAAAAATGTTATTAAAATGTTTGTTGAATTTGTATTTTATAAATTAAAAATTTTCATTTATATATTTATTATTTAGTAAAAGTTTTCTTTTAATAACACTTGGATTTACATGGGTAGCATTTGCATTAGGATCACTTTCTTGGTGGGGACCTATTTTTCTTCAAAAAGCTCATAAATTAGCCAATGGCAGTGAAGATTCAAAAGATAAAGCCAAGTAAATCATTTTTTTCTTCTTGTTTACAATATAAGTGTGTTTTTTTTTGTTTTACTAAATAG